CTACTACCACTGCTACTACTACTGCTACTGCTACTACTTCTACTACTACTACGACTACTACTACTACTACTACAACTACGAGTACCACGACTAGTACCACTACTACTGAAACTAGTTCTACTACTACTACTACCACTACTACTACTACTACTACCACTACTACTACTACTACTACTACTACTGCTACTATTGCTACTACTACTAATTATACTACTACTACTGCTACTACTACTATAACTACGCCGAGTACTACTACTACTGCTACTACTACCACGATTACTACTACTACTACTACTACTACTACTACTACTGCGACTACTACTACTACTACTACTACCACTATTATTAGTAATACTAGTACAACTACTACTACTACCACCACCACTACTACGACGACTACTACTACTACTCCTACTACTACTGGTACTACTGCTACTACTACTACTACTCCTACTCCTATCCTTATTCCTTATTAGAATATACTCCTACTCCCCCCTCAGGCCGGCAGATAGCGGGCGCATCCGGGTGGTCCCATCCTAACCTTTAAAAAACAATACAAAATCAACATTTTTCTTATTTTTTCCTCTCGACATGGACGTCCTGTCGTCCACGGCGATAATCCATTGCAAAAAAATACCACAAAGAGCACACGCGCGCGTTCATGTCAGAATCCTACCGAACACCGTGTGTTTGCAAGCATTTCAACATAAAAACATCAAAAACCAAATGCTTTTTCACAAAAAATTGTACAAATTTCCCGCCCGGGCTCTCTTGCTGAAATCATAGGAAAACCATAGGAATCTTAAGAATTCGGTCAAATCCAGCGATTTCACGTCATCGCGCGGTGCACTCGCGATGCTCTGTCATGCACCCAGGCCGCGAATCCTGTGCAAAAAATATTACAAAGAGCACACTCGCGCGTTCATGTCAGAATCCTACCGAACACCGTGTTTTTGCAAGCATTTCAACATAAAAACATCAAAAACCCAATGCTTTTTCACAAAAATGCTTTGGGGTGTCCTGTCAGACCGTCGGGCTTCCTCCGGCCACCTCTGGCTTCCTGCGGTGTACCGGGCCATTCTCGACTTGTCTGGCAATGCGTGCGCGGCATTCGACACGCGCTCGCCAGTTCCCGTCGGCAACCGCCATCGCGGCCGCATCAGCTGTGCCAAACCGGCTGGCCGGTGTGACTTCGGCCCCCAGTTGTGTTAGCTTTGCTTCTTATGTTGTGGGAGGGCGGGTGGGACTGGGCATGCCATGCTTGACTCGCTCGAGCTGGCTAGCTTGACTCCGAGTCCTACTCCTACTACTACTACTACTACTACTACCACTACCACTACTACTATTACTACTACTACTACTACGACTACTACTACTACTGCTATTACTACTACTACTACAAAGACGACGACAACTACTACCATTGCTACTACGACTGCCACTACTATTACTACTACTACTACCACTACTACTACTACTACTACTACTACTACTACTACTCCGATTACTACTACTACTACTACTACTAATACTACTACTAATACTACTACTAGTACCACTACTACTGAAACTAGTACTACTACTACCACTACTACTACTACTAGTACCACTACTGCTGCTGCTACTACTACTACAACTACATCCGGTACTACTGCTAATACTACTATTACAGTTTTTCCCGGAAAGGGCTTAAGCCTAGGGTTCTCTTTTAGTATGTAAACATGTCCCCCGGTGCCTGCTTGAAGGAGGCCGGCGAATTTTTTCCCTGATAAATAACGAGGTCGAAGGAGGCCGGCGAATTAAAATTTGAGGATGTCTCGAGCGAAACGCTTGTTTTTCAGAAAATGGTGAGATGTCTCGAGCGAAAACGTGGTTTTTTGTGCACCGAGTTGAGGATGTCTCGAGCGAAAACGCTTGTTTTCAGAATCTTGCTGAGGATGTCTCAAAGCGAAAAACGCTTGGTTTGACAGAGCCGACCGCGACTGCGGAAAAAAAAGCGCCCCGCGCGAAGGAATTGCGATGATGTCTCGACTATTCGTTTGTTTTTGTAACGATTTCCTGGAAATTTTTGCAGGATGTTCGAGCGAATATGCACGACCCACGGAACGCACCACGTCCCCAGCACGACCACACCCCAGAACGACCACACCCCAGCACGACCCCACCCAACCACGACCCCACCCCAGCACGACCACACCCCAACACGACCACACCCCAGCAGGACCCCACCCCAGCACGACCCCACCCCAGCAAGACCACACCCCAGCACGACCACAGCCCAGCACGACGTCACCACAGCACGACCACACCCCAGCACGACCACGCCCCAGCACGACCACGCCCCAGCACGACCACTCCCAGCCCGACCACCCCCCAGCACGACAACCCCCCAGGCACGACACCCCCAGCACGACCACCCCCCAGCACGACCCTACCCTAGCACGACCATACCCCAGCACGACCACACCCCAGCACGACCCCACCCCAGCACGACCCCACCCTAGCACGACCCCACCCCAGCACGACCATACCCCAGCACGACCACACACCAGCACGACCACATCCCAGCACGACCACACCCCAGCACGACCCGATCGATAAATCACAGGGTGCGGAGCACCCCAGCACGAACCCACCCCAGCACGACCCCACCCCAGCACGACCCCACCCCAGCACGACCACGCCCCAGCAGGACCACACCCCAGCACGACCACACCCCAGCACGACCACTCCCCAGCACGACCCCACCCCAGCACGACCCCACCCTAGCACGACCACACCCCAGCACGACCACACCCCAGCACGACCCCACCCCAGCACGATCACACCCCAGCACGACCCCACCCCAGCAAGAACACACCCCAGCACGACCGCACCCCAGCACGACCTTACCACAGCACGACCACACCCCAGCACGACCACGCCCCAGCACGACCACGCCCCAGCACGACCACGCCCAGCACGACCACGCCCCAGCACGACCACGCCCCAGCACGACCCCCCAGCACGACCACCCCCCCAGCACGACCACCCCCCAGCACGACCACACCCCAGCACGACCACACCCCAGCACGACCACTCCCCAGCACGACCACACCCCAGCACGACCACACCCAGCACGACCACTCCCCAGCACGACCACACCGCCTTGGTTGAGTGGTTGCCTGTCGTCGTGGAATGTTTCGTGGGGTGTCTCGTGGAATGTTTCGCGGGGTGTCTCGTGAAATGTTTCGTGAGGTGTCTCGTGAAATGTTTCGTGAGGTGTCTCGTGGGCTGTTTCGTGAGGTGTCTCGTGGGATGTTTCGTGAGGTGTTGCCCAGTTGGGTATCATGAAAACGTGTCCATGCTCCACATGTCTATATCCCTTTCCGGGTTCGTGGGTCCATCATGTTTACTACTACTACTACCACTACTACTACTACTACTGCCACCCCTGCTACTACTCCTCCTTCTTCAAGTACTACTACTGTTGCTACTACTACTATTACTACTACTACTACTACGACTCTTACTACTACTACTACTATCACTACTACTACTGCTACTACCACTAGTACTACTAGTACTACTACTACTACTACTACTACTACTCATACTACTACTACTACTACTACTACTACTACTATTCCTACTACTACTACTACTACTACTACTACCAATACTACTATCACTACTACTACTACTACTACTACTACTACTTCTACTACTACTACTACTACTACTACTACTACTACTACTACTACTACTACTACTACCACTACTACTACCGCTATCAGTACCACTACCACGCCCACTACCACAACCATTACCACTATCATTTCCACCATCAGTACCAATAGCAGTATTACAACGCGCGAGCACGCCGAGATCAGCCCCCCCCCCCCCTTCCTCCCCCCCGGGGATTGTTCGATCTTCCCGGGCCAAGTATCGATCGCAACGACGGAGCGGGGGGATGGGGGGGCATCGACCTCATCATCATTATCTTCCTCCTGCTCCTCCGCATGGGGGCGCCCTCCTCATCGTCATCTGCGGTGACAAGGGCCCCCCTGCCAATATAAGGGAATCTTGAACAATATTCCCCCTGTCTGGCGATACTGAGCTCAATGCCGTCGCTGCCTGAACAACAGTCAGCGGCAAACCCGCCGCAACGCAGAGGCAATCATAAACGCTTGCGTTTCTCTTGAGGGAGCTCAGCGCCGTTGGGCGCCCCCTGGAGAGGCCCCGAGCGCGACGACGCCCCCCTTGAGGGAGCTCAGCGCCGCCGGGCGCCCCCTGGAAGGGCTCCGTGCGCGACGACGCTCCCATTGAGAGAGCTCAGCGCTGCTGGGCGTCACCTGGAGGGGCACCAAGCGCGACGACGAACCCCTTGAGGGAGCTCATAACCAGAACCAGAACCAGAGCCAGAACCAGGGCCATAACCAGAACCATAAGCAAAACCAGAGCCAGAACCATAACCAGAGTCCCAACCAGAACCAGAACCAGAGCCAGAGCCAGAACCAGAACCATAACCAGAGCCAGAACCATAGCCACCGCCTCTGGGCGCCCCCTGGAGGGGGCCCAAGCACGACGACGCCCCCCTTGATGGAGCTCAGCGCCGCTGGGCGTCCCCTGGAAGGGCCCGAAGCGCGACGACGCTCTCCTCCAGGGAGCGCAGCCCCGCTGGGCGCCCCGTGGAAGGGCCCCGAGCACGGGGCAGCCAGCGGCCAGCGCTACCCCGCGCGACCTCGAGTTATTAGAGCTATGTTCACGATGCGCCTGCACGCCTGCGAGCACGGTCAAGCGATTAGAGCTATGTTCAGGATGCGCCTGCACGCCTGCGAGCGCGCCCTGATAAGAAAAGGGCCGAGTGAGGTCAAGCGTTGCCCCACAGCAACTCAGCGCCCGTTGAGCTGGTCTAGCATTCGCATCAGTTTAGTTGAAGCGTGGCCAGGCTCGAGCTTCGCAGTTGCTCTAGCATTAGCGTCAACCGCCCAACTTCGCCCGCCGCCTGGAATGGCGAGGCGCACTGACGGCGGCATCAAGTCGATGGGGGAGATCACTGGCGGCGACGAATCCGCGACTGACCAGATCAAGAACACGTGGCTGCACATGGCGGTCGTGCAGCCCTACACGTGCCTCGCCAAACCAGAGCGTTTCCAGTCGGATCCCCCCGCGGCGTCTCGCCTCCGCGACATGCCCCTCCAGTGCACTGACAACGTCGTGAATCTCAAGAATTTGGTCGACTGGGTGACGCTGGAGGAAAGGGCTGCGCAGCAACTAGATACTGTTGAGGTCTATGGCGCCATGTGCGGCGGCAGTTTCATGGCGCTGCCAGCCCCGTTCAGAACGAATAAGGACCCTGGCGAGATCGCATTCGCAATGCAGCTCTACACCTTGCCGAAGGAAGACAAAGGTCGGCAGTTCGCCTTGAAATGCATCAAGTTCGAGAAGGCCACGCGGACGGACATCGCGAAGGAGGTCTTTGTCTCTGGCACGGCGCTGTCTCCCCACTGGGGGAACTCGCCCGACAAGAAGACGCCGCTGAAGCTCTTTCACTATATGATGGACAGGTTGGGCGGGGTGCAGATCCGCCGTTCGGCCCGGCCGTCCGCGGCCGCCGCCGCAGCCGCAGGGGCCGATGTATCTGACAAGGGCAAACGGCAGGCGGGTTACCGTTACATCGAGAAGTACGGCCCGAGGACCAACAACAAAAACCAGTTCGTGGAGTCGACCGACGAGATGATTCACGACGAGAACTGTCCGATCTTCAGATGGATGGCGTCAGACGTCAAGGAGTCGCTCCGCAACCACGCGTCGGGCACTGTCGGCGCGAGGACACTCGAGCGCTGGGCGGTCACTCCCAAGCGGTCTGACCCGTTCCTGTTCGACCGCGTCGTCGCCCCCATCCTTAGGGGCCACGACGTCCATGGGGCCATGTGGATAGGAAAGACCAGGGTCGGCAAATCCACAGCATCCAAAACGATCGGCTTCGCTATTTCTGCCTGCCAGATTGAGAAGCGCCGCCGCGCTGACCTCCGCCCGAGCGCCACCGCGGCGAAGCGGATTGGCTTCCTGCGTCTGGGGCCTGGGAACATGTTCATGCCCGCCATCGCAGACGATGCCGCGCTGGCCAAGTTGGGCCCCGACGAGATCAAGGTTGTCCTCGACCCCGCCGAGGAAGACGCGCTGCTGTGGGTGAAGCGGCGGCGCGCGGGAAAAATGCATTTCTTGGGGGCAAAATTTTCTAAACGCATCCAAATTACGTTAATTAGTTTACCAGGGCCTTTTTGTTTGTTTTGTAGTTCCCCGCGCGCTGCACAGGTGGGGCGGCGCCTCTTTCGACCAGAACCAGCCCCGCCAGATCTGCGTCAATCCGTATAACGAGGAGTTCGAGGCGACGGTCAAGCCCGTCAGCAGGGAGAGGGAAGGGGTAACATTCAGTGGCTTCATCCAGACCATCGGCTGCAATTTCATCGGCGAAAAGCAGTGCAGCTACAAGATGGCGGACGTGGAGGCGTACGTGGCGAGGTCCAACGTCGCGCCCCTCTCGCCGAACTGGGTGTACTTTCGGGCGGCGCCCACAGCGAAGGAGCCAGTCCCTCGCTTCCTGTGGCCAGTGCCCGCGAAGCCAGGTCTCTTCACGCCCGAGACGCACGACATCCTCAAGCCATTCAAGGAAAACCAGACTCGCGTTCCATCCGGCCACGACCAGCACATGAGGTGGGCCGCGGCCGCCATGAAGAAGTTGGCGCGGGGCGGGGGGCTCGGGCAGTCGCCGACGGTCCGCGGCCCCGCGCTCTTCGACCAGGACGCGCCCGCGAGATGCAACTTCCCAGAGGGGCCGCGCAGCCGCCGAGCGGCAGGCAGGGGGGCGAATGGCCCCCGCGAGCGGCCGCTGGTCAGCCGACCAGCGCCTCGTGCCCCGTTCTCGAAGATACGCGCGATATCGATGAGCAGCTGAATGTCTGCCGCGCCGCTCAGCAAAGCCTCTGCGATCGCGCGGTGGCCTTTTCGCGGCCGCGTGATCGAGATCTCCCGCCGCAGCCGCTGAAGCGCGGCGCCGGGCGCTCGGCTTGCCCCGACGTGCCCGCCATGGACGAGGGGGGGCGCGAGAGGGCCACGCAGGCGACGAAGGATAATATCATCGAGCGCGGGGGGGAGGCCCGCGGCTCGAGCATCGACCCGTTGTCCCCAGCGCGCCCGCCAGCCGCCGACGTCTCCTCGCAGGATATCGCCGCGGCGATGGCCGAGGGCGCGGCCGCCGCTTCAGGCGACGAGTGGTCCTCCCCGCAAGTGGGCGAGGGTTCGGCCTCTGACTGAACCGAGCGCAGTAGTATCTGCTGCAGCTGATGCGCACGCCGATGCGCAGCCCTTTTGCTTGCCACATATGACCCGTGAAGCTTATCTCTGGAATGCTGGCCGCGCTGCGAGACGCTGGGCAAACGTGCAGGGAGTGCCCGAGCGAGATGTGCGCAGATGCGCATATTTTTGTTGACCTGTCGTGACATTGCGATTCTGCACAAAAAGCAACACGTGCATTCACCCGTGCGGTTGTTTGCTATGGAGGGGGAAGCGTCGGGAATTTCTTCGGCGCACCCCTTCAAACGTTCCGTGACCACGCAGATGAGCCTCAACCGAAGGCCCGAAGTCAATCTCGGCACACCCTCACACTGTTCGGCCTCCGCTCATTCGCATCACTCCTGTATCATCTCACATTCCTCCTCCCTTAGCGTGGAGGGACTGAATACGCTGTGTTGTTCAGTTATATATATATATATATATATATATATATATAAATCCGGGGAGAGACTCGCCAACTGGCGTAGATTCTACCAGACATTCCAAACAAGAAAAATGGATAAACCTGAAAACGCAGCGCTTTCAGGCTCCAAGTCAATCTCGGCACACCCTCGCACGGTTCGGCCTCCGCTCACTCGCAACGCTCCTATATCCTCTCACATTCCCCCTCCCTTAGCGTAGGGGGACTGAACACGCTGTGTATTTCAGGTTTTCCATGGTTTTCCTGGTTTTTCCCGGAAAGGGCATGAGCCCAGGGTTCTTTTTTAGTAGGTAAACCTGTCCCCCGGTGCCAACTTGAAGGAGGCCGGCGAATTTTTTCCCTGATAAATAACGAGGTCGAAGGAGGCCGGCGAATTAAAATTTGAGGATGTCTCGAGCGAAACGCTTGTTTTTGAAATCCCGATCGATAAATCACAGGGTGCGGGCCACTTTTTCGCGTGTTGAGGATGTCTCGAACGAAACGCTTGCTCCGCAGAGTTTGCCGAGGATGTCTCGAGCGAAACGCTTGTTTTGCAGAGCCGACCGCGACGCGGAAAAGCGCCCCGCGCGAATGAATTTCGATGATGTCTCGACTAATTCCTTTGTTTTTGTACGATTTCCTGGAATTTTGGCAGGATGTCTCGAGCGAAATGCACGACCCCACCCTAGCACGACCATACCCCAGCACGACCACACCCCAGCACGACCAGACCCCAGCAACGACACAACCCAGCACGACCCCACCACGCACGACCAGGCCCCAGCACGGACCACACCCCAGACGACCCGACCCCAGCCGACCCTACCCCAGCAAGACCACACCCAGCACGACCACAACCCCAGCAACGACCTCACCACAGCACGACCACCACCCCAGCACGACCACGCCGCACGACCACCCCCCAGCAGACACGCCCCAGCACGACCACCCCCCAGCACGACCACCCCCCCAGCACGACCACCCCCAGCCACGAACCACGCCCAGCAACGACCACGCCCCAGCACGAACACCCCCCAGCACGACCCACCCCCTTATCACGAAACACCCCAGCACGACCAGACCCCAGCACGACCCCCCCCCAGCACGACCCCACCCCAGCACGACCATACCCCAGCACGACCACACCCCAGCACGACCCGACCCCAGCACGACCCTACCCCAGCAAGACCACACCCCAGCACGACCACACCCCAGCACGACCTCACCACAGCACGACCACACCCCAGCACGACCACGCCCCAGCACGACCACGCCCCAGCACGACCACGCCCCAGCACAACCACCCCCCAGCACGACCACCCCCCCAGCACGACCACACCCCAGCCCGACCACCCCCCAGCACGACCACACCCCAGCCCGAACCCACTCCCCAGCACGACCAACCGCACCTGTTGAGTGGTCTGCCTGTCGTCGCTTTGTGTTTCGTGGGGTGTCTCGTGGAATGTTTCGCGGGGTGTCTCCTGGAATGTTTCGTGAGGTGTCTCGCGGAATGTTTCGTGAGGTGTCTCGTGGGATGTTTCGTGAGGTGTCTCGTGGGATGTTTCGTGAGGTGTTGCCCCGTTGGGTATCGTGAAAACGTGCCCATGCTCCACATGTCTATATCCCTTTCCGGGTTCGTGGGTCCATCATGTTTCGGATTCCGGGGAGAGACTAGCCAACTGGCGTAGCCCTTGCCAGATATCAGAAAAACATGATCGACCCACGAACCTGGGAAGGAATATAGACATGTAACGCATGGCAACGTTTTCAAAGACACCTGATTGGGTGACGGGCAAGTGCAATGCTGATTGTATCGATCTTGATGTGCCGTGCCGAGGGCTGCGCTGTGCTGCACCGTGCTGAATTGCGATGTGCCATGCCGCGGTTGTGCTCTATAGCGTCGTGGATCGAGTCTTCCTTTGCGTCCGAGTCCTGACCGAACTGATCTGGATCTGAAGCTCGAGCTGCCTGAACACATAGTAGCTGCCCCAGAGCTGATTGACAGGGGGACATGCCCGGAGGGCGCGCCGCGAAACGTCCCAAGGGACGCGCCAGGCGACGTGCCAAGGGGCGCGCCATGGGGTCGCACCCTAGGACGTGCCAAGGGAACGCGCTACGGGACATCCTCAAAATTCATGCGCGCGGGACGTGGCACGCGCGAGACATCCCCGGAATTCCTGCGAGCGGGACGTGAAAACGAACATCTCGCCTGAGACATCCTCTGAATTCTGCCCCCCCCCCCCCACGAGGCCCCCGCTCGAGACATCCCCCAAATTTGCAAAACCAGCGTTTCGTTCGAGACATCCTCAAACAATGATGAAAAACAACAAGCGTTTCGCTCGAGACATCCTGCCAACATTCTAAGACATCCCGACAAAACAAACAGATTTGCCGAGACATCCTCGAAATTCCTGCGCGGGACGCGGCGCGCGCGAAACATCCTTGGAATTCCTGCGAGCGGGACACGAAAACAACCATTTCGCCTGAGACATCCTCTGAATTCTGGCCCCCCACGAAGCCCCGCTCGAGACATCCCCAAATTGCAAAAGCCCCGTTTCGCTCAAACGTCCTCAACAAATTATGAAAACGTTTCGCTCGAGACATCCTGCCAACATTTTAAGAAATCCTGACAACACAAGCGAATTTGTCGAGACATCCTCGAAATTCCTGCGCGGGACGCGGCCCGCGCGAAACGCCCATGGAATTCCCGCGAGCGGGACACGAAAACAACCATTCCGCCTGAGACATCCTCTGAATTCTGGCCCCAACGAAGCCCCCGCTCGAGACGTCTCCAAATTTTGCAAAAACCAGCGCTTCGCTCGCGACATCCTCAACAAATTATGAGAAACTATATAAAAAACTTGTAAATTACACTGCGTCAGCGCTCCCAACGACCCCTTGTAAATTACACAGCACCCGCGCTCCCAGGGCCACGATCCCTCGTACATTACGCTGCGTCAGCGCTCCCAGGGCCACGATCCCTCGTAAGGGCTCCTGGGCCTTCCTGGGTCTTCCTTGGACCTCTTGGGCCCTCCTGGGCTCTCCTGGGGCCTCCTGGAGCTTCTCCTGGGCCCTCCTTGGGCCCCCTGGTGCCTCTTGGAGCCTCCTGGGTCCTCCTGGGCCCTCCTGGGCTCTCCTGGGCCCTCCTGGGCTCTCCTGGGCTCTCCTGGAGCCTCCTGGGCCCTCCTGGGCGAAGTCAAGGTCCGAAAACACATGGGACTTGCCACATTTTTGAAATTCGGTGCCACCCCTCGCGCAGGTCGGCGGGGTCAGGATCCGAAAACGCAGGGGATTTGCCACATTTCTGGAATTCCGTGCCACCCCTCACGCAGATCGGCGGGGTCAGGGTCAAAAAACACAACGGATTTGCCACATTTCTGAAATTCCGCGCCACCGTTGAGGTCCCAGGACAGGACAGGCACTGACCGGTGAAAAACCATGTGTTTTCCAGATATTCCAGATCTCACCAGAAACCACTTAGGTGAAAAACAATGTGTTTTCCAGATTTTCCAGATATTCCAGATCTTCCCAGAGACTACCCAGGTGGAAAACATGAGGTTTTCAAGATTTTCCAGATATTTCAGATCCCCACAGAGCCTACCCAGGTAAAAAACATTGTGTTTTCCAGATTTTCCAGGTATTTCAAATGTTTCCAGAGACTTCCAACTGAGTGAGCGTTTCTCCACGGTCAGTCTCTGGGAAAATTTGGAAAATGTGGAAAACCTGGAAAACGCAGCTTTTCTCAACGGTCAGTGTCTGGGAAAACTGGGAAAACTTGGAAAACCTGGAAAGCACAGCTTTTCTCAACGGTCAGTGTCGGGGAAAACATGGAAAACATCAAACACATCAAAACGCAGCTTTTCTCAACGGTCAGTGTCTGGGAAAACTTGGAAAACCTGGAGAACCTGGGAAACACAGCGTTTCTCAATGGTCAGTGTGTGGGAAAATTGAGAAAATCTGGAAAACCTTGAAAGCACATCGGTTCTCAACGGTCAGAGTCCCGAGAGAGCCCAGAGACAGAGAAAGGAGAGGGAGAGAGAGAGAGAGAGAGAGAGAGAGAGAGAGAGAGAGAGAGAGAAAGGGGAGAGAGAAAGGAAAATAAGCAATCGAGGATGAGGAGACGAAAAGGTATGATCTTGGAGTGGGGGCGACCACATACATAAGCTATATATATATATATATATATATATATATTATAATATATATATATGTAATGGCCTCCGGCCTGTGCCGCCGATCCGGGGCGTTCGGCGTGTTGCGATTCGACTATCCCTCTTCTCTCCCTCCCTCCCTGTTTTCCTCCCTCCCTCCCTCCCTCCCCCTCTCTCCCTCCCCAGATCCCTCCCCCCCACCCTGCTTCCCCTCCCTCCTTCCCCCGCCCTCCCTCCCCACAACCCTCCCCCCTTTCTCCCCTCCCCTCCTCTCCCACCTCCCCACCCGCCCACTTACCCCTCTCCGTAACGCTTTCTGCGGCGCACAAGGTATCCAGCTGCCTGCGGCAAGTCCTGCGACCGTGCCAGTCGAGCCTTCTCAGTTGCAGCAGCTCCAATTGATGAGGTTGTTGATGGCGGTGGATGGTGATGAAGATGCTGTTGGTGATGATGATGCTAATGCCGATGACGTTGACGACGATGATGATGATGGTGGTGATGATGATGTCGATGACGACGACGATGACGATGCTGATGGCGACGATGACGATGATAAGGATGACGACGATGATGGTGATGAGGATGACGATGATGAGGATGACGATGATGAGGATGACGATGGTGGTGTCTTCGATAATGGCAAATAGGATGATAGGGGCGAGAAGGGTGGCTACGTGGTGGCGACGGTTAGGAAGAGTTGGAGGAGGATGCGGGGGAGAGGCAGGTTCAGTGTTGTGGGCCTGTAGCCGTCGAGGTCCAAGCTTATTCCACACCTTTGCTTTCAAGTCTGTATCCCAATGGCGGTGGCGAAAGGGAAGGCGCCCGCGAAACGCAGAGCCATAGCAGCCTCAAGCGGCACCGCGGTGCAAGAGGATGCAGAGATTGAGGGCGAGCCGGCTGCGACTCGGAGGCCACACGAGGTGAACAAGAAGGCTGGACTGGCGAAGCCCACTAATGAGTTGAAAAGGCATCTGCGTGCCTCCCTCGTGGGGCATTTGGAAGTATTTCATCTCGTTGCAAAACATGCCGGGCCGCAGCGGGCAAGCGAGGCTGAGAAGGCATTATCGCGGCGCAAAAATATTACGTATTGCTGTGGGTGTGATGACGGGGGGGGGAAACCTGAAGCAGACTGGAATCGCGTAGGCCACAGTGCTCTTGCGAGTTTGGAACACTTAGAACGATGCATAGCTGCAGCGGGTGTCGCCGGGCAGGCTCTGCAGGGGAAGCACGCGTCGATGGTGTTGCGGAACGCTGATGAAACAGCAAAACAGCTCCGGAAGGTCAGGCCGAAAAGTTCGAGAGCGAAGGCAGCTGCCGTGGATAAGGCGAAGTATGCGCAATCGTGGAAGGACAGTGTCGCGAAGGCCCGGGCTGAATTAGGGTTGCCAGGCAACGCGAGTTTTGCTAAAGGAACACCCTTGTACAAGAAGGCGAAGGGATTCCACGACGAAGCGAAGGAGCGCGCACTTGCGTGAGGTAGTCCTGGTCCCTGCAACATGTGAGCATAGGGTGGTAGCGACGCCGCTCGCGTGAGGTAATTGAGGTTTCTGCCAACAATTAGCATGAAGTACTCGCGGACACTGAATCTAACCGCGTCTATCCACATCATCGTGCGTAATTAGTTGCCTGCGCAGGACGCACTTGTGCGCACGTGCGCGTGCGCGTGCCGTTCCACGCAGGACGCGGCGGGCGCGGCGGCGACGGCGCGGCGACGGCGCATGGCTTGAGGAGGCCCCCGACTCGGGTTTCCATGGGAGGAAGCGTTTGTGGACCCCGACTTCCAATGCCGATTTTCAGGAATTCTGGGAAATCTCCGAGTCGGAAAATGGCGCCGGGGAGCGCCGAGGAGTGCGATGGAGTAGGGGGTATGTGTTTTTCGGACCCCCGGGACCTCCACAAACGGATTTCCAAGACCTCCAGAAATGTCCACATCGCCAAATTGACACACATGGTATTAGGGAGCGCCGAGGAGTGCGACGCAGTCGGGGGATGTGTTTTTCCCGGAAAGGGCTCAGGCCCAGGGTTCTCTTTTAGTAGGTAAACCTGTCCCCCGGTGCCAACTTGAGGGAGGCCGGCGAATTTTTTCCCTGATAAATAACGAGGTCGAAGGAGGCCGGCGAAATAAAATTTGAGGATGTCTCGAGCGAAACGCTTGTTTTTCAGAATTTCTTGAGGATGTCTCGAGCGAAACGCTGGTTTTGCAGAGTTGAGGATGTCTCGAGCGAAACGCTTGGTTTCAGAATTTGTTGAGGATGTCTCGAGCGAAACGCTGGTTTTGCAGAGCCGACCGCGACACGGAAAAGCGCTCCTCGCGCAGGAATTCCGAGGATGTCTCGCGCGTGCCGCGTCCCCAGCACGACCACACCCCAGCACGACCACACCCCAGCACGACCCCACCCCAGCACGACCCCACCCCAGCACGACCACGCCCCAGCACGACCACACCCCAGCACGACCACACCCCAGCACGTCCACACCCCAGCACGACCCCACCCCAGCACGACCCCACCCTAGCACGACCACACCCCAGCACGACCACACCCCAGAACGACCACACCCCAGCCGGACCCCACCCCAGCACGACCCCACCCCAGCAAGACCACACCCCAGCACGACCACACCCCAGCACGACCACACCCCAGCACGACCCCACCCCAGCACGACCCCACCCCAGCACGACCCCACCCTAGCAAGACCACACCCCAGCACGACCACACCCCAGCACGACCTCACCACAGCACGACCACACCCCAGCACGACCACGCCCCAGCACGACCACGCCCCAGCACGACCACGCCCCAGCACAACCACCCCCAGCACGACCACCCCCCCAGCACGACCACACCCCAGCACGACCACCCCCCAGCACGACCACACCCCAGCACGACCACTCCCCAGCACGACCACACCGCCTTGGTTGAGTGGTTGCCTGTCGTCGTGGAATGTTTCGTGGGGTGTCTCGTGGAAGGTTTCGCGGGGTGTCTCGTGGAATGTTTCGTGAGGTGTCTCGTGGAATGTTTCGTGAGGTGTCTCGTGGGATGTTTCGTGTAGTGTCTCGTGGGATGTTTCGCGAGGTGTTGCCCAGTTGGGTATCGTGAAAACGTGTCCATGCTCCACATGTCTATATCCCTTTTCCGGGTTCGTGGGTCCATCATGTTTCGTGTGTTGAGGAGTCTCGAGCGGAAAAACGCTTGCCTCAGCAGGTTGCCGAGGATGTCTCGAGCGACACGCTGTTTTTGCAGAGCCGACCGCGACGCGGAAAAAGCGCCCCGCGCGCAGGAATTTCGATGATGTCTCGACTAATTCGTTTGTTTTTGCACGATTTCCTGGAATTTTGGCAGGATGTCTCGAGCGAAATGCACGACCCCACCCTAGCACGACCATACCCCAGCACGACCACACCCCAGCACGACCAGACCCAGCACGACCCCACCCCAGCACGACCCCACCCCAGCACGACCATACCCCAGCACGACCACACCCCAGCACGACCCGACACCAGCACGACCCTACCCCAGCAAGACCACACCCCAGCACGACCACACCCCAGCACGACCTCACCACAGCACGACCACACCCCAGCACGACCACGCCCCAGCACGACCACGCCCCAGCACGACCACGCCCCAGCACGACCACCCCCCAGCACGACCACCCCCCCAGCACTACCACCCCCCAGCACGACCACCCCCCAGCACGACCACACCCCAGCACGACCACTCCCCAGCACGACCACACCCCAGCACGACCACACCCCAGCACGACCACACCAGTCGCACCCCCGTGGAATGTTTCGTGGCGTGTCTGGTTGAGTGGTTGCCTGTTCGTGGGGTGTCTCGTGAATGTTTCACGGGGTGTCTCGTGGAATGTTTCGTGAGGTGTCTCGTGGAATGTTTCGTGAGGTGTCTCGTGGGATGTTTCGCGGGGTGTCTCGTGGGATGTTTCGTGAGATGTCGCCCAGTTGGGTATCGTGAAAACGTGACCATGCTGCACATGTCTTTATCCCTTTCCGGGTTCGTGGGTCCATCATGTTTTTCTCTTGGGAAGACCGTTTTAGCAGCCACGGACTTGCCAACCTTCGCCCAGCTCCCGAATCTCACAGTCTGTCAGCATCCGCCCTCTCATTGTCGGGGGTTGCACATGCCGTCGTGGTGCCAGCTGGCATGTCGCTCGAAGTCTGCTTTGAGGTATCGATGAGGAGCTGGGCTCTCACATCTCACAGTCTGTCAGCATCCGCCCTCTCGTGGTCGCACATGCCGTTGTGCGCGGTTGCGCGCTCCCGTTTCTGTTCTTCCGCCAGCGTGCGTGCGTGCGTGCGTCACCTGGCCAGCGGTACGAGGAGGATGAGGATGAGGAGGAGGAGGAGGTGGAGGAGCAGGAGGAGGAGGAGGAGGAGGAGGAGGAGGAGGAGGAGGAGGAGGAGGAGGAGGAGGAGGAGGAGGAGGAGGAGGAGGAGGAGGAGGAGGAGGAGGAGGAGGTAGGAGGAGGAGGAGGAGGAGGAGGAGGAGGAGGAGAGAGGAGAGAGGCGAGAGGCGAGAGGCGAGCGCCTGCCTCCACCGTTGGGTCCACTGTCGAGGGTAACGGTTCTCTCCGCGCCCCCGCCACATGTGGCTCGGTGGTTGCGAGCATGTCCTGCCTCTGCTCATCGAGGATCAACGAACCCCGAAGCATAATGACAGAGTGAAGACGTGACCTTACTTAGGTCCCCGTCTTTGCATCAGGGATACTATCTCCAGGCTGCTTGGTCTGACACACGTGCAGAACAAGACCCTCTACCCTACTGTTTTCGGACTTCCCAACTTAGGTTCCCTTCTAAGAAGGGTTAGGAGTATTTCTATTTCATCGCTTCGCTCATTCCGCCGGCCCGTATTGTGCCCTCGCTGGCGTTTGGGCTTTTGGGGGCCTTTGGGGGTCCTCGTTGGGGGTTTCTTGGGGGCCTCGTGGGTTTCTGTTGGAGCCTCTTTGGGGTTCCTCTGAGCTCCTTTGGGAGCATTTGGGAGCATCTTGGGGCTTTGGGCGCCGCTTGGGGCCGAGGGCTCGATATGTCCGTTCCGGTTCCCACTTTGGGGCCATCTTGGGCCGTGTCGGAGGCCTCTTGGGCGGTCTCACCCTCTTGGGGCACAAAGCTCAAGTTTTCGGTTCGTGGTCCCTCTCTTGGGCCCCTCTTGGGGCCGTCTTGGGGCTCTCTTGGGCCGTCTTGGTGCCTCTTGGGCCGTCTCGGGGCCTTCTTGGGCCGTCTTGGGGCCTTCTTGGGGGCCTCTTGGGCCGTCTTGGGGCGCTCTTGGGGGCCTCTTGGGCTGTCTTGGAGCGTCGGAAAGGCGAAAAGGCGAGGAAGCCAAAAACTTTCAAAAATCTAAGAAAATCAATGATTTTTGTATCTTGGGGCTCCGTTTTGGAGCGTTTTGGGGTCTCTTTCGGGCCTCCTGGCGCCTCTTGGGGCCTCTTGGGGCGTCCTGGATGTCTCTTGGAGCGGAAGGCTCGGATTTTCGGTTCGTGGTCTCCATCTTGGGCTCCTCTTGGGGCCCTCTTGGGCCGTCTTGGGCGCTTTTTGGGCTGTCTTGAAGCTCTCTTGGGCGGTCTTGGGGCTCTCTTGGGGGCCTCTTGGGCCGTCTTGGGGTGGTCTGGGGGCTTCTTGGGGGCCTCTTGGGCCGTCTTGGAGTGTCGGAAACGCGAAAAGGCGAGGAAGCCAAAAAACTTCAGAAAACTAATGGAAATCACTGAGTTTTGCCTCTTGGGGCTCCGTTTTGGAGCGTTTTGGGGTCTCTTTCGGGCCTCTTGGCGCCTCTTGGGGCCTCTTGGGGGCCTCTTGGGGCGTCCTGGAGGCCTTTTGACGCGGAAGGCTCGGATTTTCGGTTCGTGGTCTCCGTCTTGGGCCCCTCTTGGGGCCCTCTTGGGGCCCTCTTGGGCTCCTTTTAGGCTGTCTTGGGGCCCTCTTGGGCGGTCTTGGGGCTCTCTTGGGGGCCTCCTGGGCCGTCTTGGGGTGGTCTTGGGGGCCTCTTGGGCCGTCTTGGAGCGTCGGAAAGGCGAAAAGGCGAGGAAGCCAAAAACCTTCAAAAACCTAAGGAAAATCATTGATTTTTGCCTCTTGGGGCTCTCTTGGGAAGGATCGGGGCTCTCTTGGGACGTCTTGGAGGCCTCTTGGGCCGTCTTGACGCCGTGTTGGGCGTCTTGGGCCGATCGTTCGGTGATTCGGAGCCCTCTTGGACCGTCTTGGGGGCCTCTTTTGGCCCTCTTGGCGCGCTCCGGGGGGCGTGGAAGGCCGCACCCAGGAGGGAAACCATCTCTGAGTAATAGCTCCCGGGCTTCGGGCGGGGTACTTTTCGCCGGGGGACCCCCAGGGGCCGGAGATCTTAGCACGCCTCTGGCCCGTTGGGCCGGCGAATTGCTTCCCATTCGCTGTCCACTCGACTGGAGTCATCTGCGCGTCGGAGGAAACATTGTGTGTGCATCCGTGCGTCACTGTGTTGGGCCATTT